AAGCTTGATATCGTTTCTAGGGCGGGAAGCAAAGGGGACATCGTTTTTTTCGGGTCCGCGGCGGAGAAGTGCCGCAAGAATGCCGCGGCATGCCACCGGCATGCTGTCCATCAACAAACAAAAGCCTCGTTCTCAGCCAAAACGCAATAGTATGATACCAAATTTGGTGTGTACATGCGCGTTGGTGGACCGGAACTATAGCCCCCAATTACTTAGAAAAACGTAAACAAATTAATAAACCGATAGAAGGACCCAATGAATCGCTGCAAAAAGTAGCCTATCATCTGCGCAAGGGTCGAAAACATATGTGTGCAAAGTTTCAGCTGAATCGGTTGGGCGGCGCGCGTTCCTATAACAAAGTCTACTTGGCATGACCTATTAACGAAGCACTGCGGTTAAATCAAAGTTTATATCTATATATTAAGTTGGTCCGAAAGTTCTGTCCCACCATTTTCAAAAAATCGTAACTTCTTCCTATTGCAATGTTTTTGCAAGAGTAAAACCATATTGAAAACAGCAACTCATGCACTTTCTATAACTACCTTGGCTGCTCTCTACTAAGCTCTGAAAGCAGAGATAAAATTGGGAAAACGAAATCACTTCGAGTTCGGAATTTTTAAGCAAGCCCCTTAAAAAATCTAAATCTGTGCCATAAAATCCAAAACAGCCAGTATCCTAGACTATTTTACCCCCTTTTTCTGGCTGAACAAAGTTCGCGCTGATCTAGCTGTTTTCCGAAAAGTTATGATTTTTTGAAAAAAATGTCAAAAATCAATTTTCTTAAGAAACTGATTTTTTGGCATTTTTCCTGGAAAATCATAACTTCTTTCAAAAAAGCTCGATCAGCGCGAATCTTGCTCAGCTGGAAAGAGGGGATCAAAAAACCTAGGATTCTGCCTGTTTTGGATTTTTCAACAGGCTTGCTTAAAAATTCCGAAATTGAAGTGATTTCCTTTTTCCAATTTTTTCTCTGCATTCATAGCTTAGTGGATAGCAGCCAAGACGCTTCTAGAAAGTATCGTTTA